AGGAATAAATATTATTCTTCTAGCATCAGCATCCAGACTGGCTCTGAGGCCCACCCAGCTTCCTATCCAATGGGTACTGGGGGCCCTTTACCTCAGGTAAAACATGGCTGGGGCATGACACAGACCATGCATGTAGTGCTGATATCAAGAATGAGTATGAGCCAAACCTCTTCTGCCAGGCACCTCCATGGTGTGTAGTGAGCCAGATTTACTTCACTTCACAGCACCCATGTGCATTCCAATAAAAAGGTTAATCTGTACTTTCACTCTTAAACATTGCAAAATAGTATCTTTATTAACATCAAGATCATATAAGATGATTGAGTATAGCTATTTGGTTCAGGAATGTTTATGAAATTATGGCTCAGAACATATATAGTCAATGAACTTTACCCTGTTTTCTCGCAGTTTGTCTAATTTAAAACGAGCATCAGTCTGCTTAGCAATTTCAGCCAACTTGTCCCTAGCATCTGTAAGTTTCTGGCGATTCTTTTGTATTATTCGTAGCCGAGCATCATCCGCAGGTCCCAGAACTTGACCTCTCCGTCCTCCCTGACGTCCACCTCTTCTTTTGACATGGTTTGTGTTGTTGAGACTTTGTCCACGGCTACCAGGCTCTAACCTCTTGCCCTGTCCCCTGAGCATATCAAATTCAAGTTCAAATTACATATTGCAAAATTTAGTTCAAATTTCTGGCATAATTCAAATATTCGTTTCCATACAGGAATGATTTCCCTGCTAAAACCTACATGTTGACAAACTCTTTAGGCGGGATAAGAGACGATATTAGATAATCATTTAAACGAAACCATTTTTTCAGTGCTATGAACAACAAACATTTTACAGGAAACTGACATTATTTCACGTACCTTTTTCTTCCCCGAATGTTTGAAGCCTTCGAAAACTTTTTTTGGATAATGTCATCTAAGCTAAGATCCATATTTGCCATGCCGAAACAACTACAACCATCTGTCGTCGTTGGTACTATTTTCTTTGCCCATGGAGTACATAATCACAGAGAGTAATACATTGTGATACCAAATCCCCGATATTACCTATGGAACTGATTAACTGCCAAGAGGGAACAAACAGAAAGTTGTGAAGCGAACTTAAATAGAGTGATTAGGGTACTCTGTTTCTTGTCCACCCTCATGACAAACACTGTAGTTTGACCATGTGCCCTGGACTAAAACACTTGACATATTTGTATGAAATAGATAATGAAAGTTTTTAATCAACGTTATTTTTCAGCTTCAAATGCACCTTACCAATCTGTAACAAGATTTGGGGCACTCTCAGATTACTAGATAAAGTTTAGAGAACTTTTCGCTTCAGTTCTAATTCCATTATTTACAAACCTTTCTCTTCAACTTTATGTTTATTAACGTTAGATTTCTCCTATAAGTATTGGAACTAGTATTCCGCTTAAAGACGTTATTACAATCTAGAAGTTATACGATCTGTTAGAATTAGAATATATTTACGTTTCACAGATCCTTCATAGTTCAGGCCAATGATGTAAAACATGTCATATGAATATAAACACTTAGTACACATGAAAATTCGAATCACGTTTAAATATGTGCAAAATAATGTTTTCTACATTCTCTTTCTGATATTGACATCATTGTAAAAATGATGTCACATATTTATAAACATCTTGTTACTTTTACACGGGGATAATTAGCGGTGTTGTACCTACGATTGTCTGTGGTACTCACCGTCCTAAATTCCATTACATACAAAGTAGTCAAAGAATCGCAGCACCGTGAGTTTCAAAGCACGGTGACATAAAATTAGGTACTGCTTCCTATCGCCTTCTCGGGCGAACCAAGTGTCGTGATGGCTGCCCATTCCTTTATTGGGACGTGGGAGGTAAATAAACTTGTAATGCGCTACTTTTCTAAACCAATTCATTCTCTTGAGGATTGTGTTTTACTCAATGAAATGACAGAAGAATGTGTAGTAGTAGTTTTAACCTCGATACTTATGGCCCAAAGCTACTTGAACCTATTATATCTTGTATTTGACAACAGAATGGGCGTAGCGATTTTGTAATTGTTGTAAGCATTATTTGATGATGCACAAACGGCATTAATTCTTGTAAATCAAGTAAGAGCCAGGGTGATAAATCCTCTGTTTCAGGTTGTGGGTTGCATTTCTCAATCGGGGAATACAGAAAAGACTGGAATAGAGGGGTGAGTAAGAACCTAAGTGTCTTACCAACGTTTGCTAGTATAAATATAAACATTAGTTTATGTGCCGTATATTGCCGTAAAATATTTTGAAGTATGTTATAAAATTACTTCTAGGACATTATTTTGCTTGGATGAGAGTGGTGATGTGATATGGACAGTGCCAGAAGAGACCGAAGCCATTCCACTCTTCAGTTGTGAAACGTACGAGATATACAGTACCTCTCTGTCTGGTGTGGTTATCAGATTTGGGGCATATGCTGGACATGTTATCGATTTCAGGGTGAGATAATGAAAAAAAATGAATAATGTTGTTTATATAACAATGGTTTGTTTAATGACACTGTCAGTAGGTCAGAATACATAGCATCAAGTTATTTTGTTGATAAATGAAGAGCATCCTAAACCTGTGTGGACCAAGTGCCACATAGGAAAGTTGGACATTTAATATTTACACAAGAAAAATAATGAGAAAATGTAAATGGTCACTGTTTTGGAGTTAATTACACACACAGTGACAGTGTGAAGAATTGACAAGTTCAGAACATAATAATCATGTGATCTACAGTTGATAAAACATAAAAACTTTGTTGCTGCAAGATAAGTGCACTGCTATATGTGGATCTCGCTACTGTTGAGTTAATTGATTTTAGTGGAAGCTGAATGCTAAAAGTTTAATTTATTTTTAAAAAACATGATAAAACATCATTAAAATAAAACAGCCACCAAAAGTCCTTAGTTTTTACAACAAAAATTATATTATTTTTTAAAACCATGAGAGAAGATGGATACTATGAATACTGAAGATTGATGCTGTTGATTTAACCCTAACCACATAACAGTTCTTATTACTATTCAGCTGGGGTCTACCATCCGTCTTGTTTAAATTCTGAAATAGTATGCATTTTGTCACAAGAGTGACAAAAAGATGTAGTAGTTATAAAGGGACTCAGGAAAATGACCATGTATTATAAAATAGTTCTCTTACATTTATCATGTGTATTTGTGTTCGTACAGGTTGACCATCCAGAACCACAGGATGTGATGTTATTAACATGTGAAGGCTGGTATGATCTGCATTGCAAACGTGTAGTTGCATCGGAACCAGAGCCTCCTGTTGATTCTCCGTTCTCCCTTCTTCCTGCACTTGAAGATGGCTATTTTTCTGACCTCTCAATTATGGCCAGCAACAATAAGCAGGTATAGAATTTAAAGGACAGTATAACATGTTATTTTGCATGAGTTTGAAACTTGGTCTCTGTCTCTCTCTCTTTGAGGGATGGATGTTAGTGAGGATATTTATGTTGGTCTTCAGCCCTGATGATGGAGGCAGTATGTTCATTCAGAACATTGGTCTGTGCTTACAAGTTCACATTGCATTGCAACTCAGAACAACACAGTCATCATCATTTCCTTGAGAACCTGAAATATCATAAGTGAGCATGTTTGAAAACAAAGGGCTGAGGGGAATATTAACATTAATTAGATGAATAACTGCTGTGTTTTAAGGTAACATGTTTGCAGACAAACTGTATAATGCTCTTGCTTTCAGTTCCCAGTGCATACTTGCATTCTCCGCCTTAGTGCTCCTGAGTTAGATTGGAGTCATCAACCTCCTCCTCTTTCGGGACTCCCAGAAGATGTTCTTGGGACAATCCTTCACTTTCTGTATGCAGAATGTCTGCCCACAAATCTTGGAGAACAGACGGCGCGGCACTGTATTGCAGCAGCTACAAGCCTACCTGGTTTGGAGAGACTTGTTCGAATGTGTGAACTGTATTTGAAGAACATGGCTCTGAAACAACGTATGTTTGAGAATCCTCTGTGTTTTTGCTTGTTTCTTGATTAACTAACCAACAGACCATTTAAATAATTAATTAACTCATTCTGTGGCGCATGGTATAGAACTGTGTTCACCAAAGCTTGCCATTCGGCTCTGTCCTGAGCTGCTTGAATCCATTCCGTCTTCTTACTCTCCATTTTCTTTTAATATCTTTTTTACCAAAACTTCATTTGCATTTCTCATCTTATGTGTACATACTACATGTGCTGTCAGTCTTATTTTCTTTCATATAATTCATTTAATAGTAGGTAATGAGTTTGAGGATCACCAGAAAAGTTTCATGTAACTGAGCCTGTATTGCTGATGGATTAGGTTGAATAATTTTAAAGTATAATTCCTTTCCAGTAGACCACTATGATTTTCCAGGATGTTGCCTTATTATGTATCACAGTTCTCTAGATGTTTTCATAATTCAAAAGAAGCTGAAGACAGGAGTAACTCAGGAAGCATGTTTCATGTAGAAATTATGATAGAAGACTGACAGTTAACGTACAGCAACATTGAGATGGTATCACAAATTGGTTTGTCAAGTGTTTCTGCTGCCTTCCACAACTCATTGTGAGGCAGGCTTAATGTTGGGTGCATCACAATCTGACAGAAACACCAAAATTCATTAAATCACTGTTCCATACCTTAGTGAATCTGTACTTGAGAGCATTGGCATTGTACTTCTGTTTCAGAAATTATTGGTTTTGTGTCTGATATGCACGCATGTGCCAGCCAGATCATAGACCATTTCAGCACTAAAACATCTGCTGGTGAACATTCAGCAGATAGCCTCAATTCCAACCCTGCCAAGCTGTGTTTTGTTGTGAAGCAGTCAGTGAGGGAGGCCGCAGTAGGTGGGTATTTGATGAACATTACAAATTGTTGATGTGCAGCATTGTACATTATGAGTTCATGTTTAAACTTAACTCTACAGCTGGGGTGAAGCTGCTGCTACTGTGTGACTTGTTCACAAAACGCAAAGCTGAATTGTCTCGTGAAGAACGTCATGAGATTATTCGCTATGCCAAGTCTCGACTGCCTGTCTTCATGAGTCAGCTGCTTAGATTTCTTCAGGGAGTGAAATCTACCTTCAGTAGCATGTCTCCTAGTCAGAGACAAGAGGTTGCAACATACCTTGTGCCAGAGGTAAGTGAAAAGTATGACTAAGTCAGAAATAAAGCGTAACTTGAACCTTCAGTGACAACTATTTTAGTCATTTTCAGATTACTTCATAAAACAAATTTCTGCTTGCCTATTTTCACATATTTATCAGAAGTTTGAATGTGAACTGAGAGATGTAAGCAGGTTATAAGCAGTGAAATGAAGCCACTAAGAACTATAAGTAAATAAAATGGGGTAAATCTTGAAACATAGGCATTAAGCATGAACTGAAAGTATGAACACTGCAAGACTAGTAGATAAATTTAAGTATGTTCTTGTGTCAATGTTTATTATTCATGGATGCCAAAATAATTCTACTGTAAGCCACTAGGGAAATTCAAGACAAGGTGGAGATACCTGAGACATGGTGTATTTGCTTTTGTTTCACAGATTGAGACTATATTGGACACTGTGTCAGCTCTGGCTGTAGAATTAAAATCAGCCTTGGAACAAATTATACTTACTCTGTCCCCTTCAGAAGGTTGCAGGAGCCAGAAAGGAAATGTAGGGGAAGTTCTTGGAAAATCCCTAAAAAATGTAAGATATGTTTAATGATTTTATCGCTTATTTAACTATAGCAGCATGGTACATCTTAAGCTTGTGGATGAGAGAGTTGTTTCCAGGCATTGGATGATGTTTTTTCTGATTACTGGTTAAAAATGGTATTTGAACTCTGAGATTGTAAGATAAAATTGCAAATTGTTCTTGCACATCTGTAAATTTAATACAGGGTACTGGAATTCTTTAATAATAAATCTACAAAAATATTGCAGTTTTTATTGATGTGAAACAAAAATGATAGCAATTTGAAATTTTTATTTAGCTTTGAGTTTGATAGCAATAACAAGTGACTAGTTTTAGTCAAACCTGTGAAAACAGATATGGAGATAGAACATAAACATACTTATTATTCTGTATAAAACTTTTTTTATCATCAATTAAGTAAAGTAAAGTTTGTCCCACTACGTGCCATAAAGGCACTTGGGGGGAGAGGAGGTATAGCTCCTCTCTTCCTTGACCTCGGCACTAGATGGGTGAGTGGTCAGCATCACGCCCCGGCCGGCTTTACCCCCGGGAAAGGACCCCCGTACCCATTGTAGAGGAGGCTGGGTGGACCCCAGAGCCAGTCTGGACGCAGAGGCTAGAGGAAAAATCATCTGCCCCCGTCGGGGATCGAACCCCGGTCGTCCAGCCAGTAGCTAGTCACTATACTGACTGAGCTATCCCGGCTCATTTTATCATCAATTAGAAATGATAAATGAAGGATTGAGGTTATGTTTGACAAATTGGCGCATTTTATATTAGTGGATATTGCGAACAAAAATAAATTACTACTTGTATAATTACTAATTCATAGTTTCTGCTAGTTTTCCAATATTTTCATTAACATAAATTTAAATTAACTTTAATTATTTTGTTGTTCATTTATTTTACTTTACATTTCCAGGTTCTGCACATAAGAGAGCTTAGCAAACTCCGTAGTGTTCATCAGAGAATAACTTTTAGCCTTGTTCATCTTTTGCAGAAGAAGTAAGTAGAAGGTGACATCAGTATTCAGTACACAGAATAACATTTGTACATCATAAAATGTTTGGAGATGTGTGGTATCTGATGAGAAATCCCTTGTTAAAAAAACTTTGCTCTCTTAGCCCTTCTAATACTTGGAAATGCAAAATAGCTTTTGACTTTTTCATGCTACCTTTTTGTGTTTGACCTATTGAGAATATATTTATTTGCTTAACATATAAATTTTCTATAGAACCATTATGTATTTATGTCTGTCAAGAAGTAAATTAATTACAATCTTTTATATCTGGTGCAGTGTGCAAGTCACAGAAGCACGCTTCCTCTGTAAATGTGTTAACAGTACCAATCAAATGACAAACAAAAATGGAGTTCATGCAGTTGTAAAAATTCGTTTTGTAATGTTTCTGATTTAAGTTGTCTTTATGTTAGGGAGAGTTTCAGTGATATGACAAGTGCCAATAAAGTGCGATCAGTAGCACGTAACTTGGAACAGCTGATAGAAGAATTACCAATCTTTTTATTGCGATTGGAAGAGGTCACTGCTGCTCTGGATGACAAACTAGAATGGAGGGAGTTCAAATTCTGTTTTAAAGTAGGCACTTCAAAAGTGGTGAGTTTCTTTTCTGTCATTTCCATGATTAATTATGAACCCATCTCATTTTTAGGTTTTGAAATTGCGGTAATTAGTTTGTAGCATGTGACTTATCATATTTGATGGGAACTAACCTTCTTCATGTTGAACAGTAATACAATTTATTTTAGTGTTATCACTGAAAATGTTTTTGAAACTACAAAATTTATAAAGTAAAGTAAATGTGGAGACATCTTCATTGTGACTGTCAAACACACAAACACATTATTACATTTTACATTGTGATGAGTAACAGTCTGTATAGTTTACTACTGTATGTCATCTCCAGTGGACTGTGAAAGCGACTCGTAAGTGACTTTAATATGTGATTATTTATAGAGTGGAGTGCTGCAGAAGTTGCTGACCCACAGCAGTACACTGCAGGATGTGTTGGTACAACTGTGTGACCTTGTACAGAGAGATACTTTTACACAGTCACTTTTTACTCTGGGACTCCTTGATCCAGCGCAATATGGCGGTTCTGCCGGTGAGAACAACCGCAATGGCAAAAGTCATACCCACTCCACACCAAAACAGCATGGATACAAGGTGTGGTTCAACAGATAAGATTTTTGGAAAAGTATTCGGGCATCAAGATATTTGGATAATACAAAAGGAATATATATATATGAGATATTTTAAAGGTTCCCAGATATCAGGATATTTGGAAGAGAATAAAAGGTAAAATAATATGGTGGAAACTGATAATTACTAATATCTGGATATCAAGATACTTGGAAAGAAGGTAATGATATAAATAATATTTGAAAAACTGTTGATCATATCCAGATGTCAGGATACACGGAGAAGCAGATTATTGGTACAATTTATGTTTTGAAAACTGGCAATGGTATCGAAGTATGAAGATGCGTGTCAAACATATTAAGATTTTGTATGGTGGAAATAGATAAGTTGCAGTAGCAATGTTTCAAGAAATGAATAGTTATATCCATACCTCAAAGTGTTTGGAATGCTGATACAAGATGTGTGTCCTGAATTTTTACCCCTGTTCCTTAATTCTTGCTGCAAGAAAAGGGAAAGTTTGAAGGTTAAGTTTCTTATTAACCCCAGTGGCCAACAACAGTGATGTTGCCAAGTCTGCAGCTCTGTCTTGTATTTTAGCATGTGTAGTATTTTGTGCTACTCAAATTGAATTCTTAAATGTGTTGTGCATTCAGTATTTTTGTGGAGGAACTTTAAAAAAATGTTGGACATGGTATTTGGATAAATGTGGTAATTGTTTGATTTCAGCTGAACTTGGTGGAGTCACTGTGCATACCACCAATGTCTCGGACTAGTTTGCTTTCAAAATCTGCTATTCAGCTACTCAGTTCTGGCCAGGCAACGGATATGGTGTTTGAAGTAGTCGCATCACAAGGTCTGTACATAGTTTTCTTTTATTTACTTGTGCATTACAGATACATTGACTTCCCACTTTGTTTTTTCCTACAAATCAATCTGCAACATTTGGAAGAAAGTTGTAGTTTTGTTACTGCATATTAAATAATTTTGGGTGTTGTTTGCATGAAGTGCATACAATGAACACATAATCAGTAACACTAATGATTGAATGTTAATGAAAATAGGTATACCTACTGAGTGGCTAAGCAAGAAGTTATTAAGTGAATTCAGCTGCTGGTTTAGTCAGTTCAGTTTTAATTTATGTTGGTCCAGCATAATTCCCAACTTTTTATGTAGCTAAAATTTAAGTTTATTGATTTTCTTAACAAGGGATCATTTGAAAATGAATTGCACATGTTGAGAGTATAGATCATATTAAATTGTACTTTTTTATGTAAAACATGTTTTGACATAACTATTCCATGAAATAAACTACCTAAAACTAACTCAGAGAATGAAGTCCTTCTTGAGAAGCTAATTATTGCTCAACTTGTTAAAAAATTTGCTCATGAAATAAAAGAATAATAATAATTTCTGTTGGTTTTATTTGCAGTATATAAACATCACTGCCAGTGAAGTATGAAAAAAAAAATGCACTTGACCCCTTCCATTCTTGTTACTCTGGTTCTATATCAGTTCTTGCATTTTCATGTTTCATGTCTTTTGAACTATTGAAAGGTTGATACATACGTTTTTAATATTGCTGTTTCATGTGAAGAGCAAACAGAAAGATGTATACATGAAACTGTTCAGTTTTCCAGTCATCGGGCTTCTAGAAACCAGGGTCAATTCTCACACATATTGCATCACAAACTATTCATGCTAGTATCATTATCATAATTTTAGAATTTAAAGGTATGTCTGTTAAGTACGAAGGGTATATGTGAACGTACTTGAATAAGCAGTCGCAGATAGCCAATAATTGTTGGGCCTTTGGGATTGGAAGTAGGGCTAACAGTGCATTTTCATTAATTCTTTAGAGCCTCCAGACTGTGTGATTGACCATACTCAAAGTCAAGCAGTCGAGGCTTCACCTGCAGATCAGCAGGAGGGAGAAGAAGTTTGCAGCATACAGGCACATAGAGTCATTGTTGCAGCTCGTTGCGACTGGTTTCGGCGTGCACTTCTGTCTGGCATGAGAGAAGCAATTGACAGGTATCCATGTACAGTGCATGTATATTTTGATTTGCATGATACAGGTAGTTGCATTCCTGGAAACACTAGAACATGCATCAAATATGTTGTTTTCTGTGCGCTTGGCATTAGATATAGGGGTTATGTTTGTAAGTGACTATAACTGTTGTAAACTTAAGATTTCGTATGTTTTATTTGAATGTTAAATATCCTTGTAAGAACATTGAGAAGACATTTAAAAATGTAAATATGGCATTAAATATTTAGTTTATATAAATCTATCAGCACTGAAGAATTTAAAGAAATTGAAATGACGCGTGGACATTCGGACATGAAGACACCAACCACAGTATAAATTTTAACCACTGTCACTGGTTTCAACAGCCTCTGACAGATGATGGTTTGCAGATGTGAACTGTAGCTGAAAGTGGAATATGATCCATTGTATGGTTTTGTATTTTTCACATTGACATTCTATTTTTGTCAGATATGATGGAAGAGACGTGACAAATCATCATTGCGTCCGACAAGTCTTAAGCTCAGGACCTTTAACACAGATGACTAGATCCTCCCATGAAGAATGTAAATGTGTAAAATAAATTATTAAAATGTTCCTTTGCATTTGACAGGAAAATTGTGATTCATGATACCAGCCCATTTCTCTTCTCAACATTCCTGAATTATCTGTATAGTGGACAACTGGAGACAAAAGATTTAAGTGTTGATCAATTGGCTGATCTCATGCTCCTGAGTGACCGGTATGAGGTTGACTCACTGAAACAGGCTTGTGAGCAAGGACTTAAAAGGCATATAGATGAGGACTCTGTGCTTTATTTCCTCAGCATGGGTGATCAGTTCAATGCAAAATTGTTGAGGGTAAGTGTTGACATTCTTAAAACATTACAGCAATGTATGGTGTGTAGCTCTTAACTTCAACTCTCAGGCTAAAGACTAGTTGTCCAAGTTGATTTTTATGACCTACTTCAGGCATGTATGCACTGTAGAATAGGTATTTTTTATTTTAGATAAAGAAAGAGACAGTCACCATTGCTTGATTGGTTTAGTTATAAGAAAATGGTAAAGATGTCTGTTGTACTTAACTAAGCACCACACTAAGTACATGTATGAGGGAGTCTGTACACATTTTCAACTTCAACACAAGCTGAAGGTTAATGATTGACTTTACACTCCAGCCTGTTACCCATGATGAATAATCCTGATACCCATTAATTTGAAGGCTGGGTGGGTCCCAGAGCCAGTTTGGACATTATGTTAAAAAAATAAATTTTGCTTTGCTGGGAATTGAACCCCACTTTTCCAGCCTGTACTAGTGTGATGGACTCCACTGAGTGGAAACCCTTCCTTTTATGTGGCTCCAGTCTCCCTCATTACTAGGCTTAGTGACAAGGCAGTTTTATTTAATGGGCCCCACATACTATGTACCTTTCCCTTTTACCTGAGAAACCTTGATAGGTCCTTTCACGTGAGGATGGGCAGATCTAGTCTCCAGAATACTGTTACTGTACATTATTTTTAGTGACGATTTTCTGTAATAAAATATCATTCTTGAATATTTTAATTTTCAGTTGTGATTTCTTCTTTTCAGAGTGCTTGCTTGAATTTTATTTTCCTGAACCCTGACATCATTGACAGTGATCTGTTTGAAGAACTACCACAAAACCTTCAAGCAGAAATATATGATCTAGTAATATGGGCGAAACCTAGAAAATCTCAGACTACAGAGAAGTTGTTGCCTTTCCCTGAATGTCCTAGTCCTGAAACTCCAACATCAGTTTCTTCAAGTCTTGCAGACATTGAAGAGATGGCGTCTAACATTCACATCAACAGTCGGGAGGTGGAAGCGTCGGATAGTAGTTCCTTGGAAGAGTTGCCTCTCACACAAGACTCTGCCAGACTAGAGAGATGTTTGGTGTTGCTGAGGGATATAATTGGAGAGCAGGTCTCTCGAGAAGAACTTGTGCAGGCATGTTCTTTCCTTGATAATTAACCCTTTGAAACTGCTTCAGTATTTAAAAATTCAGTCTTGCTTGTGTGTGTGTGTGTGGGGGGGGGTGCTGAGAGTTATGTGAAACACATAAATACAAACTGCAGAGTTACCAATTGTTCAAGCAGGTGGTTCATTTAGTTACCACTGGGCTTCAAAGGTTTAATGACCCTTTCTACTTCCTACTTGTGAAGTTAACAGTGTTGAGTTGAAATGGTGTTATGAAATGTGGTTGAAAACCTCGGCAATGATCACATGTAAAGCAACGTTCCAAACCACATTTTAAACATTAACACTTTTACTCCTCTGTTAGTAAGTGCCTTGGTGATGAGTCTCACAGTGCCGAATTATTTTCAGTGGTTGTTCCACAATTTCTGCTTGAGGAATCACGTAATATACTTGGTGAATATATTGGGAAGGAATTATAGATTATTAATATTACAGATTGAATTTTGAGTATACAAACAAATGGTGGTAACATGTGTATGAAACTTGAGGTTCTGACAGTGGTACAGGATTAATGATATTAGGTTAGGTACCCTTTAATATTTACAGTTGAGCCATTCATACCTTAACCTAGTTCTAAAGGTTTGTTACGGAATTTGTTTTTGTACCTGTTTGTAAAGAGGGCCCTAAAACTGGCTAATACCGATGGCAAAAGGCACATGTGGTCTTGGAGACAGTCAAGACCAGCTGCATCATCTGAAGGTATTGCTGTTTTAACGCTGAAAGGGTATATACAAATCACCAGGTACTGATCAGATTCCGATATAGTTGATCCAAGTGTGAGTTAAATTATATTATGAGAATCGCATACTTATTTATTCTGGTTAATATAAGGAATAAGGAAGAAACATGGAAGAATTTTTACATTAAGTTGAACAAAACAGTTTTCAGTCTGACTTGTTTAATTTTTTGATAATTTAATAGAAGCAAATGGTTTATAATTTAAGTTAATACAAATCTACAAGTTAAAGTATTGTATTATAATGCTACATATGTCTGTTCTAGTGTAGTTTAAGCTCAGATTTACCCATCTGCTAGTATTATCTCACGAGGGAAAACATTAAAATTGACAATATTGTATTTCACACACTTGATGTGTTTACACATAATCTGTCATTGCAGTATGTCTTTATTTTTAACTAGGCTGCAATTTTAAAAACCTATATTCATGTAAAAATTATATTATAATAAAATCTTTCATTTCTTAGGTTGTGTTGGCAGCAGACTACGATATTAACCGAGCCCTTAACTTCTACTATTCATCCTGAAGGTGGCAGCAAGGTCGCCTCAAAGCATGGCATACCTAGTACTGTACTTAAGAAGAGACACATCTAAATGGTGAGTAAGCAGCATTTTTCATAAGGATCTTTATGAGGATTGGATTCTCTGCACGTAGACTTTGTTATTGGTACACGTCACTTGCAAGAGCTCTGTCCAGGAATGGACATACACAGCCTGTGGAAAAAGTTTGATCTAAACTATGAAGATATTTCGATTTAAGAACATTGACCATTGGTACACAATGTTGCTGTCTTCCAGGTTGCTGTATTGAGAGTAGCAATTAAACTTTCCTCAGAGGAAGTGTGCCTGCTGCCCATTTGGGGTGCTCCAGTTCTCTGGAAACTGCCAGTCATTTGCTGTCGCCTCGCAAAGTGGGAAATCAAGAAAGGTCAGCACCAAATCACTTATTATCCTATCCTTCTCCTCCTCTTCAAATCAAATCAAATCCATTAGCTTTAATCTCTCTACGAACACTTTCCAGATTTTTTTAATTTTTTAAAAATGCACTGTGGGAAGAAGAACGATTTTGGAAGAGCATGGATTGTAGTGATCTGTGGACAAGACGCTTGTCAGTACATCAGAGTAGGCAATATTTCTTGGATTTTAGTTGATGTAGTTTGCAGGAGCAAGCATTTGCAGACATAATGAAAGCAATATCAGTATCTATATGCTTCATGTAAGTTATTTGTTTAGATGTAATGAATTGTCTTCTCATGCTATTATTTAGATACACATATGAAATTATGCACAAAAAGTACAAATGGCTTGAGAGAGAACGCTTGGTTTTACACTGCAACAAGATGCAAACTTTTTATGCATATTAATCCATAGTAATACTCCATGCAGTCTCTTTAAATTAGGCCAGCAACTGGATTTTTATGTATTCATATTTGAATGCGTACTGTATTTACCTGAATATAAGGTCAACTTT